CAGATTGCATAAACGCTTATCTATGGCATAGAACACCAAAATCCAATAAATAATTTTAAAAAATGTGTTTCTCCAGAAGAAAACCGGAGGTTTTCAGGATCTTTTAGAAATTTCCGGATATATCCGGAAGACTTTCATTATTAATGTATTGTCTATTTCATGTCAACTAATTAAAATAAAAATTCCTTCTAGCTATTCATATTTTTCTGGTTAAATGTTTCATAGTAAAATGAAGATTATTATCTTCCAGTAGGTGAGAAGAATTTATGATTCTTATTTTTGTTAGTTTAACCCTAAGAATCAAAGTTTCTTGTTTTTCAAAAGATTTATAGCCATTTTTGGAATCATTATGTAATTTCCAACAAAGTGACAGATAAATCTGGCACAAATAGTTAGTGAGTAAAAACTTTGATTTTAATTATTCTGGTTGGTACAACCTCTGTGTACATGAACTATTGTAAATCATAAGTGTTAAAGAATACATTACCTATTTGATGATTTGTCATGGAATGATTCTATACCAAAAATAAAACTCATTAGTAATGATATTTTACAGTATTTTTTTCATTTAGCTGCTTTCAACTTCTCACAATTAAACATTAGGGTGGTATCAATATAATCTTTCAAATGAATGTTATAATTTATGGCATCTTGAATTTTTAAACAAACATGAGATATGTTAAGTCTGACTTCACTGTTTTATGAGATTGAGAACATATACAGCTAAGCTTTTAAGTGGTCATCCAATAATACTATGCTGTTGTAAAAATTTATAGTTGAAAGATAATCTGCCCAGTACAGAGCATTTATGTGCTTTACTATTGCTTCCTTTGAGATTAGTTGAATAGTTTATTTTTAAAATTTATAAGTTTGCAAAGTATAATTAAGAGCATGTATTTGATAGTATAGCATTGTTCACCTAGACCACAAATTGCTTACAGCCGGCTCTGATAGCATCTCTAGTGGACATTGTCGCTCACTTGTTTGTAATATTTTCATTATCAATTTATTTATTTCATGTTAAGGCTCTTGTCTTCCTCTTAACCATTCTTGATATAACTTAACAAATAATTGGTAGTTGAATGTTTTTGTTTTGATGTTGCACAAGTTTTTATATCTAATCTGTCCGTAAAGGTATTTCTTCATGTTGTGAATATTCACGTGTTTCATCTATAGAAAGTTATACCACTCATAGCTAAGGCATCAAAGTTTAAATTATCTTAGTATTGCCGACTGAAATTGATCTTTAAGCTTTTTTTATTTCTATATACAGGATATAATCAGAAACTTTACATAAATCCCAGAGATTAAAACATCTTAGTTTGTGAAATAATATTAGCTTTTGCATGATAAGATAGTCTTCCTTCTTAAAGCGACAATGTTTTTTGTGTGCATGTGTTTAGTTTATCCTAAATACTGCAACCTTAAAAAAAAGAGATTGAACATGTGTCAGTGAAATTGGAAAAAACAGTTTCAAGTGTTTTGATCTCAGAGGAGATTTCTTCATGCTTTCACATTGGTTTTAAATTATTATTTTGCCTCTAGATTTTCAAATAAGACATTGTGTGGTTCAAAGCTATATGAAAAATATAACTAATTATGACCTCTAAAATCATGCGAGACAATTGTACAGAAATATCATATTTTCGTGGCAACTTTAAACAAAGGAAAATCTGCTAGACCAATTTCTCATATAAAATGTTTAATCAGTCTAGGGTTTGATTTCTTGCTTCCAAAAATGCAATAAAACTCCAAGACTGTTCTTTTTTTATAATGTTGATGAAAAAACTTACCAAGGCAAGACCATTTCACTTTGACCTTGTTTTGTACTGGAAGAAATATAATTGTTTTCAATAAGTTCATGAGATCTATGACACTGTTCAAACTGAGTGAAAACAAGAAATATTCATCTATTTAGTATGACTTTCATTGGTTGAGGTCTGATTAACCATACCTAAGTCCGTCAATTGCTAAACGATATAAGACTATGAAAATAGTTACAAAGAGAAGAATATAGTATTTTATTTTTAGTATTCCTTTTGCTGCTCAATTCTCTTATCCTATTTTGAGAGGATTCTAAAGACTTTGGATGACCTCTATTTCTGAATATTCTTAACTTTAACAGAAACCATATTACATTTGTATTTCATGCAAAGATGAAACTTGAATTTTGCACTTGCAACTGAGACGAAGGTAAGCACAACTTTTATACATTCTCCCATTGTATAATGACTAGTTTCACACTGAAAACAAATCTTATATAGGTAAATTACTTTGGACTTTGACCAAAATTTGCACAAAAGTGGAAGGATATTTTATTTTCAAACGAGTATTTCTCTGCAAGATGTGAACCAATGAGCACAAAATGTATATTGTTCAAAAAACTCTTTAACATTAAACTATTACCAAAAGAAACTTTTAGTGTTTTTCATCACTTTCTGGATATTGTGTTGACCAAAAACAGCTATTAATTTTTACAAGCTTGACTCCTAATTTTAGTTTTGAGTAAACGTTTAATAGAAATTGCTCACAATATTTTAACACTATCAAAGAATATGTCTTTGGAAGATTTAGAAAAAACGTTTCTAGTAAAATTCCTGATGATAGTTACTTAGCAAGATCTTGAAAAGTATATTCAGCATTATTTGTATCCAGCTGATCAAGTGAAGTGCTTTCTTCATTTATTTTCTGTATGACACATTTTATATGAACTGTATAAATGTTTCATTTGGGGAAAATATAGTAACAAAGAACATTAAATAAAAATTTAGTATAAGAATTATATTTTAATTTGTGTTTCATTATTATTAAGCACAAAGCTACATAATGCACTATGTGTATTGCACCCACTGCAGGTATTACAATGCCATTTTTTGGCCATTATAAGCCCTCAGAATTACCACCGAGCCCCTGGTGGGTTGGGGCATGAAATTTGTGACAACCAGGAAGGGCTTACATAAGAAACTTTTGAAAAAAAATCCAAAACATAGTTTAGTGCTTTTTTTCCCCTATTTTATAATTCCTTGATTATAAAGTAAAAAATATTAATTTTTATCAATTATTTGATAATGACTTTCTCAATGAAATAAACAACTCTTAAATTTGATTAAAAACAAGATGAATTCAGCTTCATAACTGTTTTTTAAATATAAAAATGTAAAGCCTTTAACTCTATAGATATATATTGTATCTTGTGAAGCGGTAGGAGCCTTACATTTTTTAAAGTTACTGACAGAGATAAATTACTGATGACTGGAAAGTTATTCTAATTTTTGTCTTTAAAAAGAGAGGACTGAGCAAAATTTTGAAAATTACAGGGTTGTCAATTTGACTACTGTTGTTGGAAAAATGTCTGGATATGCTGTTTTGGATCACTTGATGGATTATCTTGTAATAAACTACAGTTTGATAAATACTTAGCATGATTTAACATGTCTGGTCTCAGCAAGTTACTTGAGTTACATATAAGACTGCTTTTTAAAAAAAATAGGGCATTGAATTTCAGATAGTATACAATGAGGTACTGCAAAAAAGATATAACTTCAAATTTAGAATCTTACACGTAAACTGAAAATGTTATCTGTAATATAAAGCTGATTGGATGAGCATGCCTACTGAAAATTTTTAGAATATCTATTCTGAAGCCCCTTTTTTGTATAATGTTTATATAGATGATACTGATAGCAACTTGAGCTCTAAGTTATTCAGACATGCTGGTGTCAAAAAGTTGTTGAGGAGAATGTTTATTTTGAAGAATCTCAGCAAGATTAGTTTTTGATCAGCTAAATATTTGGAAAATAGGGTTCAGTCATAAGTAATAGATTTGGATATGTAGTTATAACTTTAAAAAGCACTAAAATATAGAAATTTCATATCATAGGAAGAAGTACAAAGAAGAGCAACTTAAATGATAACTGGTTTAAAAATGTGAGCTACAATCTGTAAGTTAAACTATGACACTAAAATATTTAACAGTTAAGTAAAACTCAGAAATAAAATATAAAACAAAAAAATCTCAAGTTAAAACGAAACAGTTATGAGAACTTTAAAAATTCAATCCAACTTATGTTAACAAATGAAAATGAATACAAGTTAAATAAATCAAAAGTTAATAAGAGCTAAACAAAAGCTCAGTCAAATTCAAATTTTAGCAAGAGAATTTGAATAAAGAAAAATTTGGGAACAAAGGAGAACTTGGTTATTTATTGTGAAAAATACAACAACATCACACAAATCCAGGTTGCAAATGGCACTCTTCAACCACATGAGGTTTGTACAGTATGAATCAAGTACAACGGAAGGAAAAGGCTAAGCTATTACCCAATTTACCAACACAGCCTTCTATTTTGGGGCATCAAGAGCTTTCTTTCCTACAATAAAATGTGGTTTATTGTCAATCAGTGAATCCAGGTCCAAGGCAGATCTAGAATCAGGAAAAGGTAAATGCATTTACTTGAGCAACATTCTGTATCTAAACAGAACTGAGAGAAAAACCAGAAAATAAAAATTACATATTAGCTACTGGAGTAGAAATTACATTTGCAACACAAATAAGCAAATAAATGTAAATGAGTATCAACTGTTTTTAAACCTTATTAATGCTAAAAAACCATGAGTGAAAGCAAAGGAGAATACGTTAAAACATGTCAACCACACTACACTTGCCACATCCAGTGAAAACGAGATCTTTTACCCAATATTAGAATTCATCAGGCAGGCTGATCAGGTAATCAAGAAGCAGGCACAAAGTCTTTGAAAAGAAAGGCCAATTGTAAATACAATCAAAATAAACATAACAGAATGTTCCAAAGTTCTTGGTAAGGTGGCTGAAGTATGACAGAAAAAGTGGGGTTATGTTCTGTTCATGAAGTTTCTCAATAAAATCATGATTTTCTATCAACTAAGGAGCTTTCTACTGTGATATTTGACTTAGGACAATGTAACACCAAGTTTGTAATTTTTATTAGTCAACTAACTTGTTTCTTCAAGTGTAGACAACTACAGTTTAATGTGGACAGCCATAATTGGCCCAAAGGTTGTCTGCTGGACACACCAGTCTGTTTTTCTTATTCAGTCATTGTTAAATCACCTTTCAGACAGATAACCATTCAAATAAATGCTTCTCACTTTCTTGACAACATAATGTTTTGGGACAACATGGGATTTATTGGTCCATCTCGGCTGTTCCATCCTCTAAAGTAAATTAGAACTATTAATAAATAAATTTAAAAACATCACATTTCATGCATCAGTTAAATCACAAAAGTACACAAAGATGGCACAACAGACTTCAAGTGTAGTGCACCACTTATGTATTCAGAGGTACCTTTGACTCCAAGATTTCACTCTCAACATACATATGTGCAATCCATTGCTCTTGGGCTTGATATGGTCAGCTCTGAAGGGTTTCCTTGTAGAAACACAGTTTACCTGCTGCACAATTTCTGCAGTAAGTCTATCCCAACACCAGAAACAACTATCTTCATCCAGTGGGTGATATTACCTGGATATAATCAGAGATGTGCATCTCCATTCACATTAAGTCAGTATTAACTGACAACAGTGGTAATTCTGCTTGAAGTACTTGGTATACAGTAAAGCGCACTAGTGTACTGAAAGCTTTTGTATCAACCAGTAACATTACATATCACTCATAGCAAGCACCACCCAGCCCTGAGAGAGATAAGCTGACCACCAAACTATTAAAGTAGAGCATTTAAGCTCCTCTAAATTAGTGGTCAGGCTGAACATAGGCTCTACTAGATTTTGGAAGCTGGAGCAGAAGCAGCCATAGCTTGCCTATGTGACCCTTATGGATCTGTTTAGGTTCAGCCAATGCAGCTCGCACTGCAACCTTCTTTCTCTATTGTGACTTGTTTGATATTACCACCTTGAACCTTGTCACTCCAGATGCTACCATTGTCAGGTTGAGAATGTGTCTCACATACAGGTGATGTAACATGAACTTGCTTGGAAGTCCTTCAATAGTCTTGTTGAAAAGGGTATCTTCACAAACTGCTGACCACAGTGGGATATGCCTTTCTTTTAAACAGCAAAGATCAACTACACGAGTAACCAAGTTTTAGGTGAAGCCCTTCTTTCAAGCTTTGAATGTGACTCTGATTAGCTCTATTTTTACCAGGTAGGAATGTCAGTGAAACTCAGCCATGATTTATACTAGTCACTAAGATGATTCTCCCTCAACTGCTCAATTAAGTCAAGTACCACAGTCCAAGATCAACATCAGGCATTCCTTCAGCTCTTCTTAAAAACAGTCATTCCAAGCAATTACATACTAAAATGCTTCAAGAAGAGGTTCAAGTTTTCATTAACCTAAACTTTAAATGTCAGAGGGGAAATTTGCTTAACTTCAACTTGTGTGTGATGGTAGTGTCAACCTTTCTCCCATGAAGTTTTGGCCAACATTTAACTGAGATATTTTAAACACCAGGGCACAGTATAGTAAATGTGTGCTGATGGCTTCTCACTGTCTCTGCTCAGTAGAGCAGTTTTTAAACAAAAAGTTTGATGGCCAGTTTTAGCCATGGTTTGACTTGATTAGTGGTAACAAACTATCCCATCCCAGTATTGGTACAGGAATATAACAGTGTTGATTCCCATTGGGTCATGCATCATCCAACATTGCAACTTTGTATTACTTTCTCATGGGCTGGTTTTAATGGGGATAGTGGACCTTGACACACTTCTGAGCAAACATCCTTGGATCATCTCAAGTTCTTTCCAATTCCCTTATATGGTCCCCATTCACCCAAACATTCTCTCTCATAATCAAATCTAAGAAAGTTTACTGTTCTGCAATATCTTAATTTTCTTCTCTACCAGAGGGGACAAAAAAGCCTAGCCTAAACTATTAACTTTTGCCCTCATAACATTCTTTATGTACCTTACTTAAAAGTTTTTATCAATGTTCTCTAAGTTTACTTAATAACTTTCTTACTCATACTTTTAATTAATTGGGTTATATATCTTCATTAAGAACAAGCTACTACTGTATACAACTGGTAGAGTAAACTTCAAGATCACTTGCAGTTCCTCATTTTCCAAAAAAGATCTTTTGTCCAACATGTCAAAATATACTAACTGTAATCAATCTATCATATTTTAAATTAATAATTTCATCCAGTACATAAATTAAAAGATTTACACTTCTGAAGATTTAAACTTATTTTTCACATTCTGTCCTAGTCACATGAATGTTAAAAAGTTTTTTTTTGGAGTAAGAAATATTTTCAGTACAATCAACATTTTCCAATACCTTGGTTTCATAAACAAATTTAGAAGTATTATTAATATTATTAAAAAAACTATTTGAATCACTGACATGAATAATGAACAACAAAGAACCTAAAATAAACCCATGAAAGCCTTTATTGGTAATGCTATCCCAACTGGAAATGGTGTGACAGCAGTAAGTCTATGGACTTCCAATGCTAATTTCCAGGATTCAGTTTTCCACAGTGGACATAGCAGATAGCCCAAACACACACTTAACTGAAAAAATTCCCACTTATCACCAATCAGTTTCCTACAAATACCACAACTTGCACAAAATCATTTTGCTTTTTTTTTCACATAAGTTAACTAATTCAGTAATAATTGTATTGCTAAGTTTATATAGAATATACCTTTACTAGTTTGTATTCAAAATGAACCATGTTAATTGACAGACTGACAATAGCTATCAGACCAATGCAGTGGTGATTTATAAGTTGTACTGTTTCAGTACAAGTTATAATTCTATTTCTAGTCTAACTTCTAAGTTATAACTTATAGTGTTTAAATAAACAGCCGTTAATTTTTTTAATGACAATATCACAATATTATGAATCAAGCCTAAAAATATCATTTTTAGTTTCTTTAAACAACTGTGCAGTATATATGTCATCCCTAATCCTCGCTAATTAGTACCAGTTCACTGTGAAATGTAAGTATCACATTATTGATAATTTAATGACAAGCCTAACTTCACCATACTACTTTATTATAATAATAAAACTTTACTGTGGACTGTAGACGTAGTGTAACTGTAACTTAGTAAGTGTAATCTGTAGGAATGAGAAAAGTTTGGTTTATAAATTTGATGTATAATTTCTAGTTGTATTACAATTTACATACCTTTATTATTATTAGTGATTAACGACGAAGTGTTTCGCATTAGAAATTAAAGTCTTACAGTTATACAACTCTGTGTATAGTACAAAAAATTTCCAAGCTCAATCGTTCATTTTCTTAATTCCACACATCGATTTCCACCTTCCGTTCATTCAGTACTAAAACTATACAAAATTTGAAACCCACCCTGTTAAATAACCGCTAGGTGGCAATGCAGCAATAAGATCGTATGTTATGTTACAGCGCCTGCGTGAAGAGCCTACACAATAGATTCATGAAATTTGGCGTCTGTGAGATTGTGAAGACTAATTGTAATAATAGTTTGTTTTACAAATTATTACATATTCAAGAATTATGGGTAAGTAAATTGATATAAAATTTATCATGCGATTTTTTAAAATGCAACAAATTAACTCAGGCATTTCATTTCTGTTTGTTTGCATTTTAAAATGTAAACAATGTAAGTTATTCATAAATGATTTTTGGTTGTACTTCAAAGGTACCATGCTTTCCCGCCATTCTTCGAGTTTGTTTCTCCCGAAACAAAATTTTCACTCAGATTACATAATTATAAGCTTATTAAGGCAATATAGTATTCTTTGTTCAAAGTTAAAATAACCTGTTCATATAAAATGCTTGTAATTGCATTTAATTGAAGTAAATATCGAGTATAAATTAATACTTGCGAAATGGGGGCTCTGCCACTGCTCCCCCAAGAGATAAAAGCTGGCAAAGAAAGGAAGCCAAAAGTAGGGTTAGCACAAGCTATTAAATAAGGACCAGTTATCGTTGTTGTATAATTGAGCTTAGGGCTTTGGACCAATCAGAAAGCTATTTCGAATTCGGCAAATATCGACTATGTGGACTGAATAGAAGCCCATTTTTTTAGCCAAAGTAACAATAAATGAATTTCTTTGGCAAATTAATTGTAAAATATGCGAAGATACTCAGAAGCTTTATATAAAACTTAAATGAATCTAAAATATATTTTTAACGTTACGAAACAGAAGTTTTTTGTGTAACGTTTAGGTTTTTTGAGACTTGAAATGGACAATGACAGTTTTGTTTTTTAGTTTAATTTATTAATGGAAAATTTAAAACTTAAGTTCACTATTACAGTCAGCTAAAAGCTGAAATTTAATTTATCCTTAGAAATCTTTAATATTTTTATATTAAGATATGTTCTTGTTCATTAAAAAATACAACCTTAAAATTTTAAAGTATTTTCTACTAGTTTTAGCATCATAAATAGAACATTGGAATACACATGACAAAGATTCCACAAAACTTAAAAAAGTTTTTGGTAGTAATACTAATAGTAATATTGTAATAGGATATATTCAAATTTTAAATAAACAGTAGAATATTGTGAAAGTTTGTAATAAATATGTTAAAATGTTACTATGGGAAAAGAAAGTAGATAAGTTGAATTCAGATACTTTATAAAGTTTGAAGTAAATCAAATTTTAGATCTGCTGTTTTGGAGGAATGAATTATTAAAATTCTATGTTACAGTCAGTAATGCATGTAAGAGTTATGATAATGATCAATATTATTTAGTCAGTTTTTCTTGGCATCCAAATTGTGAAAGTTAGCAGGGGTTTAAGTTAGCATTTTAGGAAGTCATTGAGAATCTTGCTACTTCCTGGAAAAGTTGGAAGCAAAATTATCTTACTCACTAGTTCTTTACATGAAAATATTATATATAAAAAATATACAAAAGGTTTTAAAAATACTACTGTTTAAATGGATTGGATAACCCACATTACCATTTAGTAGACCTGTTTGTGAATCTAGTTCAATAATTTTTAAATATGCTATATTACTACAACTGTTAATTAGGCCTATAGTATTTATGGTCCTTGGTATGATGTTAAACTGCATTCATCAGTAGGACAGTCAACTGTCAGGGTAATAGTGAGACAAGTACTCTCTAGCTGATGTAGTCCCTGGATCTCTCTTAGGCAAAGTGTAGCACCCATTAGCCTCCCTTACCATTGTTACAGTGGAAGCCGCTGGGGGTGCAGGACCATGGATCATCTCTTCTGGTGGATGCCTGGTACATCTGGGACAGTGATAAAGGAGACCTGCTCAAATTAGTTGAGCACTGCAACCTGCAGCAATAAATGGCAGCCTACTGCAGTATTTTGTTAGGCATAATCTAGGGTATTTCACAAATCAAGGAAAAACTTGAAGATGAAGGAAATATGTCAAAATGGGAAATTTGTAAAGAAGCACTAGTTAAAACAGCCAAATAGGTTATTCCATTAAAATTAATGCAAAAGAAACAGAAATGAATGATGGAGGAAATCCTTGAGTTCATGGAAGATAGAAGGAAGATGAAAACCTGTAGTCTGGAAGAATTTAAGAAACTTGACAAAAGAATTTGATCAGTGTGCAATAAAGGAAAGCTAAAATGGTTTATGAAAAATGTATAGAAATAGAAATACAAAAGGATAGATATTACATCAGTGTATAGGAATATCAAAGATATCACAATTAAAGGAGGATGCATTGCTAGTGGATGTATTAAAATTAAGAATGGTGATGTAATTATGGAACGAGTACAAGTATTTAAAAGTATCTATTAAGAAGAACATCGACAGATTGAAAATTCTGAAGTCAGAAGAATGAACAGTTTATCAACTGAAGAAAAACCACTGAAGCTACAGGACCAGATGAAATTGCAGTAGAACAAATAAACTATTTGGAAGAATTTGGTATAGAAAAGTTAACCAGGATACTATAAAGATCTGCAACATCTTACCTGCACTGACCTGAAGATGGAAGACTTTCAAAACAATGTCCTCTACACTTGTCTTTTTGTAACAGGCAATTGCCATCCATTTCAGTTTACTCATCATGAATACTCTGCCTAAACAATATGTCAAAGAATATATTATCAATCAGATTTATGAAAATGGTGAAATACCTGAAGATCTTTGTAAATCCATCTTTTTTGCACTCCCCAAGAGACTATCGAACCATCAGTTTAATGAGCCGTGTGACAAAGATCTATTAAAGGTGGTGATGATGAGAGCATGTGGAGTTAGTGAAAATGCTGGAAGAATTGATTGGGGGTAAAGACTTAAGAATTTTAAGAAACCTCTATTGGGATCAAACTGCAGCAATGAAGATGAAAAATTAATTTAATGGTTTCACCCAAATTAAGAGAAGCATAAGGCAGTGCTGTGTCTTTTACCTGACTTGCTTATTTTGTACAATGTAAAATCCTGAGGGAGATTGAGGATTTACTAGGGCTAATCATTGCTGGATAGAATTGGGCAACTTTTGTTATGTTGATTCAGCAGAGAAGTTGCAAAAAATTGTAGATAAAGTTGTTAGTGAAAGTAAGAAGAAGGGTTTAAGTAACTGTAGGGAAACAGAATGCATGGTAATTACAAAGATCATTCCTGTATGCATTGTCAAAGTAGATAAGGCAGGTCAATAAATTCAATTACCTGGGAAGCTGGATAACATCAGGTGATAAATGTGATCATGAAATGAAATGAAGAATAGGATGGCAAAAGATGCATTTCTGAAAATTAAAAAGAAACCGAAAAACAGTAAAATTTCTATGGGTATAAAGTTAGAGAGTTTTGGATTGCTATTTTATACCAATTCTCATGTATGCATCAAAATGTTGGATAATATCACCAAGTATGGAAAAGAGAATTGAAGCAGTTGAGTTGTGTTTTTATGGTGCATCTTGAAGGTATGTTGGACAGGTCACACCTCAGATGAAGATATTTTGTCAAGAATAGCTTGCAGGAGGGGTTGCTGATTAACATCGGAAAGAGACAATATGATGTTTGAGAACAACAGTTGAAAAAAACAGTAAAAATACTTCCTTTTTTCTTGTACTTTTTAATCAAGCATTAAAAGTTCCATTCTATATATCCATTGAACTTCTTTTTTTTTTTTTTCACATTTATTCAAATCTTGATGATTGAAGCAATCATCTACCCTTTGTGAGTTATATAGATATGGCAAGACTGACAAAGATACATCAGTGACAATGACCCCATCTTTAAAAATGGTGTCTTTATTATGATCAGATACATAGCATATTTAGTCAACAATCTGTAGCCAAGATAGATTTATATTCAATTATTATAGTATATAATTTTAAACATATATATTTGTGATAAATGTGCTTACAGCCAGCTTTTTATTTATATATATATATATATATATAATAAAATAAATTTACCTCGATTATCAACTGCTATAAAGTTACAGTGCTCCCTGATGTATACTAGTCAAACATTAAAACTCACTAGCATTTTGCCAGTTAGCCACCACTAATTTTGTGAACTGCCTCAATAAGTGATTATCAGTGTGCCAATATCCTTTTCTTCAGTATATTATTGAGTGGATTCCCATATATATTAAACATAAGACATAAAGTGTGATAACTCTTATGTAGTAGGGTTTCATATGGCCTTCTCCATGGACTGAATATTGGCTCCTTCACAAAAAATTTAATTTAAAAAATACTGTTAAAAGAGATATATAATACCATATGAAGTAATCTAAAATAGAGTTTAGATCCATTGTTAAGGACTTCTGTAGTTCATGAAAACTTGGGAGTTAAAAAAAAAATCACTAACCTCAGAACATATTGTAACTTTTCAAATTCATAAGCCAACATGTGAAAAGTGAATTAGTGATATGTCAGTATTCATACAAACAAGATCAGGAGGATTATAAACCATGCTATGCAAAATAAATAGTAATAAGTTTTGTTTATATTTATTTTAATAAAGATGTATATTTAACATTGCATAATTTAATATACAATCTGATATATAATACATTTGTAAGGAATTAAATTAACATTATTTCTTCCTTCAGATATATACATCTGTTGCCACAGTTATTAAATATATTATCATATCATTACACACACAACTTCTATTAATGATAACTTAAAGTTTGCTACTGACATTTTATGCATTTATCTTGTACAAGCTTAAACTACAGTATATAAAACAACAATCACATGATTTTGGATGAACAGGGTATTTATTGTTGATTGGCTTGTAGCATACAGTGATGATAATTGCTGTAAATGTGTGACTCTGACATATGCTGAAATGCAGTATATAAGTTCGGTAATGAATTTTTTGTTAGTTTTTTTCAGTTGTACTGTTCATATATTGAATCTGTTGGTAATTGTTGGACTTGCTGCTCAGCATGTGAATGTCACTTGTCTAGTGTTTATGTATACCATAATAATGAGCCTGTTTTTGTTGGTAGTTTACCTAATTTAGCTGTGTATTTTTATATTAATATGAATTACTTACCCAGAACTTACTCTGGCATTTTAGTTTTTGTGTTAGTGACACTGGTATATTAATTATAGATTTGATCACTTTATATAGCTGAAATCATGGTCAAATGAGATCAAATATCAAAGGCGTGACATTAAACATAACGTAGATTCTATTGCCTGTTTGAAATATGGTGCTGATCTCTGAATCAGTTTCATCTAACAGTGTTGTTAGATAACAATGTTTATCATGTTTATTCTTTGATAAGAAAAATCTTTGATAAAGTGACTTCTGAAGCTAAAGACCAAAAATAAATGCATCAAAAAGTGTTTTTTGAGGAAAATATTTATTCTGTGAATATAATGGCAAACAACATCAACAAGTATCAAATAAGTAAAAGCTAAAAACAATAGCAAAGTTTTTAATTAAAACTTTCTCGTGATTACATAAGTATTGTACAAGATACACTTATATTCTTATCAGAATTACTCTTGCTTATAAAGAACAACTTCAAAGTATATTTGAGCTGCTCAAGTGGCAGCACTACAGTTGCTGTTTTTCCCTGCTCATCAGATTCCTGTGTTTTTATCTTTTTACAGTAGTTCTTGGTCAGCCTCTAGTTATTTATTATATAAGTTGTTCATATTTGCTGTCAACTTTTTAAAAGCACAATGCTATTATATAAAAGAAGTATCTATTTTTCTTGCTGAAATGATCTAATCAGAACTTTTTATAAAGATTTTTTACAAAGAAAATGTACAAAAGCAATAAAATTCATGATAAATTTGTCAGAAATGGTAACAGATAAATAATAGGCTATGATATTACAGAAACAGTATCTAGAGCTTATGCCTAAAGTTAAGACATTGGGGGTGAGGAGAAATTCAGCATATGCCAGCTGAATGATAACTAAAATCATAAATGATCTAGGTGTAAGAATATGTTTCCATTAAAGATTCTTTGTTTCAGTTATGGTCATTTGTTTTTCATTATCCATATGGGTATTAAGGTTATTGTAATAATTTTACATAGCTAATTCCAAATTTATTCATTTTTGAAAAACTAAAAACAAGCAGTTGGATGTGCATTTGCACCTTTAAGTAGTTTTTATATTTTTTTATATAAAAAATGAGCTATGGTTGTTAAAATAAATTACTGTGAAAGTGTGAGATGTAAGAATAGTCCTTGCACTAAATTTTCATTGCACTGAACTTGCCCTACAAATTCAATTTCTGTGCTTATAATGATTTTGACTTACAAAAGGTGTCAAGAATAATATTTTCCACTCTGATCTAAGATAAGCTGGCTAAACAATCTGGAAGATATTGCTATCTTCATGATCTATTCCAGCATTGCTTAACCTTTTGCACTCAAGACTCAGTTGTTCGGTACAATAGTAAAGGCCCATATATGCAATTGATGACTCGATGGTTAGAGCAGTCACAGTTGTCTTCACCTAGGCAGCCCATAACTGTACATCTCATTACAACTGTACAACTAGTTGAGAATCATTGATCTGTACTAACCAAGAAATGTTTTGTATATGATAATAATTAGAGAGATTTTTTTTAGTGAATCGCTCTGTGATGTTCCAACAGTGAAATTAGAACTTTTTTGCTCAATAAGATCTTCCATAACCTTATGTGGTTATAAAGATTAAATAGTAGTCTGTTCATATCTTTGGGGAAATGGACTGTTAAACCTTGGGACTGATTTTAAAGTGTCAGAAGATGAATACTTTTAGTTGCTATAAGAAAGCTCATGAAAAAATATAAGTTGTTCAACCTTTCATTTCTCTGTGTATGAGTACCATTTTACAGTTTTGAAAAGTATTACTTAATAAACATAAATGTTTCAGTTGAAAGACAAATAAAACAAAATAAGATTTTATTGGAAGAACCAACATAGAAGATCATGAAAATTAACCAGTTGAAAGTCATGTTTCAAAAAATCTTAGGATGGTAAAATTGTATGCAAAACATTTAATTTTTTGTTAAGTCGTTCCGTGCACTTTTATCAGAAATATTATTCTCAAACAGTTTTTAAACAGATGTAATTAAATCATAGAAAAACGAAAATTTATGAAGAAGGAGAAAATGTTTTTAGAATTTAGATTGACATCATTTTTTAAACAAGTTGATTTGGTTTATAAAATTGTAGTTATATATACTATAAGTTATGTTGGTGTAAAAATATGCACAGTTTTTAAGAGTCAAGCTAAATTGATGCATGTATATATGACCACATCATATATTGTTTGCTTGTGATTAGTCACTATTCAGACTATAGATAGTGTGACATTTATTTATTTGTTTGTTTTTTTTTCTTTTTACCTACAGCAGAGTATGACTTTCAGGGATTGGCACAGCATCAAGCAGCAGCTATGTCATCAGGTGGAAATTCCTCATCTGGTATTCATCCTTCAATGGCTCAGCTATCAATGTTACCAGCAGGACTCAATTTAACAATGAATGCTGCAAGTCAATTGGCAGGACTACAAGGCTCACCTTTTGTAAACAATAGTACTCCTCGTCATTTTCCTCATGGAGCACCTCTAATGGCATCTTATCCAGCTGGCAGAAGTGGTGGTGGAAAGATGAAAAAGAAGCCAAAGATGAATAAAGATGGCATGTTAGCACCGAAGCGTGCTACCACTGCTTACATAAATTTCACTCAGTGGTATAGAGAAGAGATGAAGAAATCTGGAAGACAATTACCTCGGGTAAGTTCAGAGAGTAAATATTACATTAATTTGTACTCTGTGTTTCTCAAAGATTTTTTCAAAGACCACCAGATTTTCTTTTTGAGAGGGTGGGGGGAGGGGCAGACCACAATGGGATGTATACATTATAATGCTGCTTCCTTTCTATAATCATGCAACATTTCTGCAGACCAGACTTGATATGTCAGCTCATCTGAATTATTTAATATATTTTGTTCTGAAATAGAGGACTTACTCAAATTGTGTAGTTTGAACTCATGATGTCAACAAAATGTGACTAAAATTTCTGAATATCCTTTATGCATGTATGTCTTACCCATAATTCTCCACTCTCCTACCTTCCATGTAACTTATTTTATAAGGATCAGGGAATCTTACATAAGCTCTGTTTTCCTGCCATAATTTAGATCTTCTTGTTAACATTCATGCTGTTCACTTAGTTACGTTTTTCTTTCTGATACAACTATTTCTGCCACTATCAGAATTTCTGTAACTTAGTTAGAGACTTTACTTATGCAATTTGTCTGTAGCATGCAGTTTTAGCTCTGGTGGTTCTATGTATTCATGCCATTGTATACTGATATTCCTGGCAGATATAACAGTTGTGTGCATGCTTAATTTAAGTAACACTTGCCATAGTCATTTGTTTTTGATGAAGTTTGATTTGTTGTTAAGGTCTTCTGCTGGTCTCTTTTTTTTTCTCTCTCAAATATATATTTTCAATATTGAACCTATTTTCATTACATACATGGGTGCTTTGGCCATGTGAAATGATTTTAGTATGTGAATGTTTGATTTATTCCACCTTCTCTTAATTTTGGGGTTGCAGATATTTTTTCAAATCTAACCCTGTATTCATATTTCCCTTCTACACTTCCTTCTCAAGTTTTTTTACCCTTTAACTTGGAACTTGGTTTATGGAGGTGGATCTTCCACGAGGTCTTTACTCAACTCTCTCCTTTATATATTCATGCCATAGAGATTTTGGTATCCCAAGTACTTCTCTCTCACATTTGTGGACTCTTGCTTCCCTAGGAGCCCTTGTTCCTCTTTGTCGTGCACACGTCTCCTTCAGTGGGCTCTGAGGGATCATTGGAACATATCCTGTGTTCCTCTTATCCACCCTTGAGTCTCTACCTTTCTTTCTTCATCCCTCTCTAATGGTGGCTTGATCACTCCAGCACATTCTGGGATGTGCCACTCCCTTCTTTGTCCCAACTTGCATCTTTATGCTGATGCCTCTTTTTTATTTTTTTAGCTGTAGAGAAGTTTCAACACCCACTCTCTCCAGAATCTGTATCTCCAGAAGAGCATTCTCTGCTTATCAACTTTCTGGAGATGACTGTGGATTATTGGACTTGCCCTTGTCTACAGTCGTGGCTGTCTAGTCATCATGTGATGATTCACTCAGACAATGCAATGGTTGTTTCTTCAGTCAGTTATTATGGAGACACCTAGTCTCGGGACCTGTGACTTCTAGCTCTGGGTTTACTTTCTCTCCTCAGTCATCCAATTTTTCATGACAGGATGTGGTTAGTTCCTAAGTCTTAAAAACTTCTTATCTATCTACGTGGAGGGATACTAACAATAGGAGAGAGGCATACAACAAAAGCACCAGCAAGTACAAGGCTGATTCAAAGAATGTGCTGCAAATATTTAATGATGATGAAAACTAAAAGACATTAATCAGTAATATCAATCTTGTTTTGTAAATATCTATGTAGATACAGTGAGTCAGTTGTTAAAAAGTAATACTGCTAACAGGAAGAGAATCACCAATTACGTGAGAGTAAAGTTTTGAAGAACATATATTTTTAATTTGTTACATGGTCTTATGAAGAAAACACTGCTACACAAAAAGAACAAAAAAATGACATAAGATGAGGCATAAGTGAGTATCAAGATCATTTGTACATATCTAAAAATATGCTGTTCATCTTTCAAATTGCTTGTCAACATGCTATGTGACAAGCAACTTTTGCTAGTCAAATTCAAAAACGAATTTTGAGCCTTGACACCATACATGGTTTGCTTTCTTTGATGTGATATAAAACAACAATCAGCAGTCTTTTTTACTGAGGTAAATGTGCAAACATAATACTATTTTAGTTTTGACAAATTGAATATGCTCTTCATAACATCAAGGAAGACATTGGTATGCCATGTTTTCCCTAGATTTGGTGTAAGTTTGCAAGAAAAGCTTGATGTATGTTGAGTAAAGTTGTTGTTACAAGTTGTAATGGAATTTCTGATACAGTATGTTATCTCCTTTCACAAAAAGATTTCTTGACTTATACTGCCCTTTTTCCATGCAAATTTTTTTACTCGCCACTAGCCTGGGTAGTCACACTTATTTCTGCATTCTGACATTCAAATGACTATGCAACAACCCTCTACCAATAAGAGTGCGACACTACCCCTATCGTAACTAGTGCTCTCTCCAATCTTGCAACTTAACCACTTCTCAATTTGCAGTCTTTCTGATTAGATGTATTTTTGCTCACAGTTTAATTTATCTAACAACGCATTTTTATTTTCATGAATTTTTTTTACATCAGTTGCTTTTGTTCTTTTATGTTTTCATTCTGCTTCATGGAGAATTATGATTTGTTTTATTTATCTTCTCTCCATTTTCAGTTTTGTCAGTTACGAACTCACAGTTTCAGGCGGTCACGATTACTGCTGCTGTTACTGCTTCAATGGATTTACCGACCACATCTACCAGGTCAGAACTACAATTATTGGCCCATGAAGTGACTGCTCTGGTATGTTGAGAATTGGCCAATTTCATGCAACGTTTTGAACAGTCTGATAATTATCCTATCATACCTGCTCAACGTGTGACTGAACAGGAGATGAGGATTTGAACATCCTTTTCTCCCCTCCTCAATATGTTGTCAGTGTCATGTCACTTCAGAGGACTTGCCCATGCCTCTTTCTCCCTTTGTAGATCTGATTAATCAGGATTGTTACAGGCTATGAGGCGGCATCGTCTGACACTTTTCGGTTTACCGAATTTGATCCTTATTCCAGTCACCATCCTGTCCATGTTATTTCATTCCTTCTCCATTTCCTGTCTTCCATTTGAACCTCTATCTTCGTGTTCATTATATCATCTTCCCCTAAAGTCCCTGTTTCTGCTGATGTTGGCATGCAGTCATCGCTGTTTGGATGTGTTCGCGATTGATGTCCACCGCAATTGGTTTAATAGTTCCTATGTTTTCCTTTTTCATGATCATTCCTTTCTGCCCAAGACTTCAGCTGCTAGAGAAGATAATTCTACTTTCACCCCAATTTTATTTTCCTCCATATCTCACCTTTATGACCATTCTCATCCTGACTGCCTCCTTTGCCCAGTTAGGGCTCTCCAATGGTATATAACATGTACTATTCCCTTCCGTAGTTCCTGAGTTCGTTTCTTTTATTCCATGGAATCCTAACCTTTCCTGTGACCTTTCTTCCATTATTCTTATGGGTTTATTTGCTTGGCATATTCTTCCCTCTCTCTGGAAGATTGTGGCTATTTGCGTGTGTTTTCTCATCAAATCTGTCACCTGATCAGGTCCCTGGTTGCATATTTCCATCTTCCCTTGGAGGACATCATCAGTGCTGGTATGTGGACCACTACAGATACCTTTATGTCTCACTTCCACTATCACATGGCCATTTCCTGATCTTTGGTTTCTTCTTACTTTCTGTTGCTATTTTGCACTCCTCTGTGTGTCTATAAGTGGTAAGTACTCCATTCATTTTTGTTTTCTTTCAGGGGCCTTTATTGCATGTTTGGATCCTTCTCTGTGGAGAGTGTTGCCTGGCAAGATATACTTAATCTTAAACCTGCAATGTACACCTTGTGATCATATCCATGCTGGATGACTGTGACGTTGAGGCTCTTCCCATTGCTGACATGATGCACAATTCCAGATGGCACCTGGTGTTGGTCGATGTGATTGTTCTGCTTTTGCAAACAGAGTATCGCAGTCACCCATTGTACTGACTCTGGTGATGTGATCCTCCTGACTCTCCAACAAATTTTCTTTTCCCCTCCTTCTAGTGGAGTATGGGAGCCCTTGACACCAGTTCCTAGCCACTTAGGTGGTGGACCATGGAGGCTTATATTTATATTATTACTATTTACAAATAAATAATTAAATGTAAGTTATTTTTCTTAAAACACAGAACAGTAAGTAAAAATAAAATATATTTATATATATGCACACATACATGTAATGTATGGTAACTGTGTAAGCATGGTAAAATAGGAAACAAGATGTGTTCATATATACTTTCACACCTATACCTCCATTAAATTCCAACCAACCAAGTTTATTGGATTGGATACAACTTTGTACAGAGTCATGTCATAAATATTTTCTCTCACTTTTATAAAGTACTTTAGACAAATCTTGTTGCAATCAATGTGCTGTAAAGAAGCCACTAGATTCTACCCCACTGTGTTCTTCGAGTTGAGATTCAAATAGTTTCTATACGATACTTCTGCTTATCGACTTATTGGATCAGCCTGGACTTTCCTCAAAGTCATAATATCAACCATTGTTCTCTCCCTTTTGGATGTGCTCCTCCCATTTTCCACCCATGTTTGCTACACCTTTTTTTTCCACATTGGGTGAAGAGTATACCTGGTACAGAAGTGGTACAGTGTCCCACATATGATCCTCTATTGCATTGATCTCTCCTTTTAGGGTGTTCTCCTGACACTTTCAAGGAATGCTTCTTTCTTTCCCTCATGCTCGACCCTCCACCTATTCATTGTGGGATTCTAGCTATTTATATGAGAGGAGATAATGTACTGTATCAGAAGTTATAATTTTCTTATACTGAAAATGTATTTCCGATAGGTACTAACATCCTCCCTTCCTCTCCACTGAAAACCGGTGCTTCCATTTTCTGCCAGAACTCAAAGTGATAGTTCAGTAGAGTCAAATATAGGGGGGTCACATGTGTCGGAAATGGTGTTTCACTTCTACGGTAAAGGGATGTTGCATGATGATTTACATGCAAGACACAGTTCAACCATGTTGATTGCGGAGTATGTGGGAGCTCAAGGCTTGTGGCATGCAAAAAAATTTTTGCATATAGAGGGCATGAGGTAAGTACCTATTGGAAATACATTTTCAGTATAGGAAAATTATAACTTTTACAGCAAATATTCATTCATTAGTTATCTAGGCTGTGTATTTTGTTTTACCACCATCATGCTCTGTGGCTGAAACAAAATTTGACTAAACCCAAATAATGGTGAGACAGAATTTAACTTCACAACTCTTCATGTGTTTACATGAACACCCATTTTAGAAAGAAAATAAATTTTAATACACCTTCCTTTTCATTAGCCACTATTCAAGATAATTAATTTTGCACGCTCCAAGAAAAATGGGATATCAAGGATCATGTAATTTAAGAGAATGTTAATCGTGAAACCGGTTGAAAGCAATATATGTATATATATATATATATATACAGAACATTTAACGATTAAGAGTTAGTAAAACATTTTGTTGTTTAATATATTTGAAACCTATTTTTATACATTTGTATATATTGTTTTATATGGGATATCAGACTGTTTTGAGTTTAAAATATTTTAGTGAAGGAATGTATAACCTTAATGGAATCTAATATTGTATTCTTCAAGATGAAGTATTGAACATTTTCAGATTGGAGACTTTGGCAAAGAATGTGCTGCCAAATGGAATTCTATGTCAGAGGAAGAAAAACAACCTTTCCTTGATGCTTCAAATAAAGACAGAGAACGTTACAGAAGAGAGGTATGTAATATTGTCAAATGTGGTTAATTTTTTGGATATCTTATACATACCAGATGGGGGTAACCATAAAGAAGTAAAAACTGTATAAAGGACAGCATTAGATAATGTTCCCCTTTCTTCTTTCTTTTGTTATTAAATCCCTAATGACCTCATTAGGTGCTATTTACGTACCCTGCTTTGTTGAATGTAATATTTGACTCATTTCACTTAAGTACTTGTGTCTTTTAATTCAAAGCTAATTTTTTTATCTGCCTTCTGCAAAAGTCCAAAAACAAAGTAGTCCATTTATGTTGTCAGACAGTTTCAAGTTACCATAAAAACACAAATCAAGGTAGTCAACGGTGTTCTGGTCAAGAGCTTGTAATAAATTAGACAATGAAAAGTCTTAACTGCAAATCTTTTACATGTTAACCCCCACAGTATTTGTTTTAATGTCTTCTTGTATGACCAAAAGAACAATGAATAAATTAAAAACAATAATAAATGAGAAAGAAAAAAAAAAGGTCAGCAAATGAAACTAAAACCAGTATTGGTGACAGTAAATTCTTCATGGTCTTCAATTATCCCAAACAGGGATAATTGCTAACGTTTGATGTAAATACATGCACCAGATGAAGTTCATACAAGCTTGTAGTAAGCTTCTGTGTAATGCAATGTATAGTAGCAGATAGGTTTGAATAGCACGTGTTATTACTGTGGATTGGTACAGGCAACATGGCAGTTGGTGACATAAACAAAAATAATTATAAACATAATTGCAAAGATGTAGTACCAAGGGGGTTTTATTAGTAAAACATCTTTGATGCTACACTTCACCCCATATGAACTGATGCATAATCGATATTTAGCTCTCAATAAACCTGGGTAGGTGATTAGTCTAATACTGTTAAAACTTTTAAACTTAGCTGGTCTTTTATTCAAAACCTGTTAAACATAGAGACCTACAACACTGATAATTAAAGCAGCCAACTGCTAACATGCATGCATGCTCGCACATACACACACATGATGGACATATTTTTTTAAGTACATATAGTTTGTGCTTGAGATTTCCACAGTCTCACAATTTGCAGTATTTTATGTCTCGGAGATTGCACAGGTCATGAAAATCTGTGGTTTGTATCAGGAAGTCCTAGAAAAGTCCTTCAAAATAACTTCCACATCCCCACTATAAATTTTTATTGATGAAAAGCTATCCCATTGTGTTTATCTTAGTTTTGCCAAAATCAATCTCCAGAAAAAGTGACTTGTAAATTGGAAAGTACACTGACTTAACAAAACTGATCAGTTTCAGGCTTTGAACTATGCAAGTCCAGTTGCAAGTTAACAGCTGTTATATAGCTATTGTTGGAATTATATTGTTAGCATAAAATAAACTCTACTAATTTGGTGTGAATCTAAAATCATAAAAATTGATAAGATAAAAAACATGGATGTTTTCTAATTACATCTTCAGCGTAAAATAATTAACAGCATTTGTAAACATTTGTAACTTATGTTCTTCATCAGTTATTGCTTAAAATTCATTAATAAAAAGAGAGAGAAAGTAAAGTTCAAATGGCAATAATATGATAGAATGAGTCTCGTAAACATAAATGCCATGCATAAAATAGTAACATATTTACCATTACATAACCCATCAGCTTATATCTGAGTAGGTCACTCATTATTTACACAGTGATTAATCTAGCCAGAGATTTTCTGAGTGAGAGTGTGGGTCTCATTACTAAATCTTTTGGGGATAATTCTGCTTTTAAGGGACAATTAGGACTGTATGTACAGTATTGTGATTATGTTATTTTGTATATTTTTTTGTATTCTTCTTAATTTATTCTTTCAAATATAAAATTAAAGCAATTATTAAAATACTGGTTCATGATTGTATTTGTAATCATCATACTCTGTGATGACTGATAATGTGAGCATCCTTGACAACAAATAAAATTATTCAGAACAGTTATTGTATTAACTATTGTATAAATGTGGACATATGTTATTGTTTAAGAAAACTTGGAAGCTGAACACCACATTGAAATATGAATGTTTTATCAGCCCACAAGATTTCATATTATTTCAGATGGTAGTTGTCAGGTGGAATTGCAACAGTAAACTGAGGAAATGTTTAGAAATAATGGAATACAATTGTGGGAAAACCGTGAGATGTGCAACATTGTTAATATGCCCAACTATTTGAGAGTGTTCTCAGTAACAATATGAATGTGAGTCTTTGCTTTTTTTGTTTTGAGATAATCCTCAGCACATGGATTTCCTGAAGAGTAGTCAGTTAAAGTCTGCTAACTGAAGGTTTGAAGAATACCAAGTTACAGAGTGTGTTTAATTATTTCTTCATAAGTTCATTGGGAAGAAAGAATTGAAACATAAAAAGTGCACAGTTATCTGTAGTAACACTCACAAACACTAAAACAAAACATAGGCAAGTAGGTCTGTATTTTGTTGGATTGGTGAGAGAAAGAAAGGAAGTGAAACCTTAGTGAGCTCTCTCTCTCTTACCAGTCCAATATTTGCTTCCATGTAAGGGAAAATAAAACTATAGAATTTAAAATGAAATCAAATGCAAAAGTTAAGAGAGAAAACGAAACAATTTCTCACACTGAAAGTCAAAATGAAATACTTACAAGAACTCTATATTAAGTTGCATTATATACAAAGTTCAACTAAGATCACAGCAAAAGTATCAAAATCTAAAAATTTTAAAAATAAAAGAATCTGTTAAACAAAGGAAAATCTAGCTCTAAATACAACAGAACACAATAACATCACACAAAGCAAGGTTGCACACATCACTCCTCAGCCACATGACCATGTGAAGTGCATTGGCAGGTTAAACTTGATTCTCCAATAGAAAAGACAGCTATCTATCACAAGCATCTTTCCTGAAAGAAAGCACAGTTATTTGCCAATTTGTGAAATAAGAAATAGGTAGTTTTGTTTTTTTTAGTGATTTTCTGTATCTCAATTGAACAGAAAGAAAATACAGAAATCTCAAAAAATTTACATATTTACTAACAGTGTAGAAAACACATGGTACCATCTTGTATCCAGCTTTATTAGCATGATATGTATTCACCAGCTAATCAGGTACATGTTGACTTGTTGTCCTGTTGGTTTTGGTTACACACTAGAGTTATAACTATGGCAAAACACTGTATTTGAGATAATGATATAAGGCTTTATCACTTGTTAATGAACTGAAATTGGGAAAAGTTGAAGTATAGATAAAGGAATGTAAATGATGAAAAAAAAATTGGCAAGAAGGTTGTTCTCAATCTTTTATGTATGCTAAACATGTACATTTATTGTTCTATAAGAATAGATAACCCTGGCCAAATTTCAGAAGACCAAATATGTTGAGATTAACTTAACTTCAATATCATATTAAAAGTTAGCAACTGTTTTTTTGTCAGAGATTTTATTTATACTTTACCAACTTTACCTCTTGTGTTTTTTTAAATAGGATTGGGTATAATGTAAGAAATTAAAAAGACATGCTTAATCTAGCTTTCAAGTTGTGACTGTAATAGAAAACCATTATGATTTCTTTAACATGCCTAATGAATTGATAGGAGCTGTGTGATGTTATGGTATGTATGCCCTTTACAAGCTGATGAAGAATGATTACAATTATACATGTCATGAGACATGTATCTAGATAAAGTATGTAGTATTTTAAACTTTAATAGGTCTAGTACTAATGTCTTATGACAAGTATAACTGTGTGATGTTTTTATTACCTGCATAATAAGGTAAAGATCCCTAACTAGAATATTTTTTCAATTTTTAGATGGCAATTTACAAGCCTGCTCGAGATGCCAACAAACCAAAGAGACCAGGAACAGCATTCATGTTATTTATGAAAGATATTCGAAAAGAAATGGCTGGGAAAGAACCTGAAGGAGGTGTAGCAGCTCTGGCAAAGTTAGGTGAGTTAAAGCCAACACGAGGAAATTGTTTTCCCATTCTTAAAATATATGGTTTTTAATTATTAACAATATTAATATTTTTAGCTATTTCTACTATGGCAGGAAATGACTTTGAACAGTGTCAGTTTCTTTTGTTCAAAAAATTAATTATGTAAATCTGTGGATGTACTTGTTGTTTAGTACAGCAGTCCCTCGATTAATGGACACCTTGTAGCAATAAGCACCATGCCATTAAGGGCAGACATTTTCAGTCTTTCTTTTTTTTTCTACTATTTGTAACCAAAATAAATCTTGCAATAATGGGCACCTCAATATTTCAGGTTTAACTTTTTGAGTATGTGCACGGTCTCTGGGACCAACCTCAACCATTTTGTGCTTGTTATAGTTTTCATGCTATAACTTTTAAATTAGTAAGCGAATGTTGACGAAATGTAGCATATTATCAGTACACATTACAATGCTTTCATATGCAAAATATCACATTTTTTTTTTTTTATTAAGTCTTAAAGTTTATAAAGCAATGTTTTTCTCGTGTCTATTTCTTTTGCTTGTTGCCTATCTATCATGCAAAGTAATATTCATTTTAAGATTAAAAATACTTTTATGCTTCAGAAAATTTTGAAATTTCACTTGCGAAACCTTTATAATGTCCAGATAGTTATCAAACATTTCTTAAGTAAAAACTATATTTTATCTGTTATTTTCAGGTAATTAATCTCTGTACGGGTTCAGTAGATTTGATTGATCTCTTAACCACCATAAAAAATTAGGAAATAAATATAAATTATGCTTCTTTCTTTCTAGAATGACTACAAATTATAACATGAAAACATAAATGTATAGACTAAATAGCTTAAATCTCATAACAATATGCATTTATATATATTAATTATTTTTATTATACTGACCTTTCAGCTATTCCTGGCTAACAATATAGAAATTACAATGACGTGGCTCACGTGCACTCATGTTACCATATCAAATAACATAAAACTGACTTTGGTCTGTGCAAAGTATCTTGTCTTGGCTATGTTTTAGTAGACTAGTATTTTGTAAAATACAGTCACATTTCAATTATTATACATTATATATGTATGTAGATAATTACTATTTTGAAATAAGTTCTTAAACATATTTTTCCTAAAACATAGAACAGTAAATAAAGAAGTAAAACAATCAATTATCTCTTCTAGTTACAACCTTAATACTTTTATGCTGCTTGATGTAGGTTGCTAAGCCTTTAAAAATTTTGCATTTGGAGGATATGAAACAAAATGTTTTTTTTTAGGTTTTATATATACATTTGAATAACTAAAAAAATCATAAATTACTACATTAATACCATAGAATTCCACTGTAATTTATAAAGCTTAGTAACTAAGATGTATTTTAATGTTCAAAAATATTAAATTTTGAGCAGACTAAAGACACATCCTACCTTGTTTAAATATTGGTTCAAAAGAAAGAAATGGCATCAAGTCCATTAAAATGGCTGAGAAAACCACTAGGGGGACATTCTGAGCTTCTGATTGGTTATTCATGTCATATATAGAAGAAAGTATATATTAGGGAGCATGTAAAAAAATGAAAAGAGGTGGGTGGGGTGCCACTGTGTTTGATTTATTACATGAGCAACATCTCGGCAAACTGAAAAGATAAGAGGCTTTTATTTTATATTCTAGCTTGTCAGTATCGTTAATTTGAGTTTCTAATTCGTTCAAAACTATAGACTTAGTATTTTGTCTTCACAAACATCTAATTTCAACCAGTGTTGCATTCAACATAGCACGTGACACACAAAAATCAATGTTTAAATTCAATATGGAATCCAGCTTTGCATGGCTCATTTTTTATATAAGGGCACCTTGCTATAGATGACATTTGAACACAATCAGAAGGGTGTCCTTAATGTCAAGGTTCTACTGCAGTTCCTTAAAATTTATTTTAAGACATTGCTAACAACAGTTCAGTGTTATTGCACATGTAGTTGAAGTTTTTTAAACAGATTTATTATTTCTCTGCACAACTTGTATATGATTGTTTGATGTCATTTGTAGTGAATTTAGTTTTCAATACAAAGTGGAGAAGATTAAATTTTGATATTTAATGTGTTGTCCTTGTATCTGTGCACTAAATATAGAACTGTGGATAAGATTGGGCCACATAGACTCATTCCCTGAATGCTGATGTGTAGGGACATCAAAATTGAGTCACACTATTTAAGTTCACAAATGTAAGTGACTGTGTTATTCTCGCAATGAATAGGAATGTACACTATTAATATTGCCTTAGACACTGAAGACAGTAGTTATTGTGCTGGACAAACCTTTGGCATTCCTTTTTCAGGTTTAGGAATTGGTTTTGCACTGTACTTTGCTAAATCGGTTTTTCAACATTGGTCACAGCTGACACATATACTTATTTTATTCCACTGGTAATTCAGTTTGTCAAAACAAACATTAGTTCTTGATGTTAATGTGATCTGTTAGTAGAAACTCTTAAAGGTTCTTGTTTTTTAAAAATATTGCTAAATTTCTTAAAGGATTTTAATGCAAATTTTAAGTTGTCTTTTGTGAAAACCCAACTAAAAGAAAATTTCTTATTGATAGTTGGGTAAAATGACATTGAAATGGATTTTTGGTTTTCTTTTTGTTTCTCTTCTATTTTTCTCTTTCAGCTTCCCTTAACTGTTTTTTAAAGATTTCCTAGCTGTATAAATTGTTGTATGCCATATTTCCTAAAGTTTCTAGTTCTCTCTCTTTTTTTTTTTTTGCTATTTAGGGTGATAAGAATCCATTTGGATGTATACAACCTCACTTGTTTTCTTCTTAGAAACTGAAGCTTCTAAGCTGTTATGTAGTGTGTGTTTTTCGTGTATATAAGAGAGCTTGACAGTGAAAAGTAAAGAAGAATTTAATATGTGAATCACACTTATGTCTACTATACCCAGTGCCGACAAGATCTTTTGCCCAATATTGGGGCTCATCAGGTCTTTTTTTTAAATATCTAAGAATGGTAGTTATTTTCATTTTCAAAAATGAAAAATATATATATATATATACTTGAGGGTGTTAATGAACATGTTCAGAAAACTTCACTTTTTTTTTATTTGTTACAAATTATTAAGGCAACAGGTAGCATACCTGAGATATGGACTGATGCTTTTATGAAATCTTATCCAAATTGTTGAAAGATCCCTCTCGCCATGGCCATCTGTTTCTGTGCATGTCACGAGGTTTTAGTGAGTTACATTCAAAATTTAATTAGACTACTTTCTTTTCATGGTGTGCCAATAAATACAGCATAAAAATGTAGCTAATAATCCATATTTGAATAGTATATAAGTTTTAAGTTCTTATTTTTATAAGGCAATATTGGAAAAAAACTAATTTCCCGTAGTGTGAGAATTGTGACATTTGCTCTTTTAGCATCCTCTCTTCTCTAATTTATTTAACACCCCTCCAAGAAGTATGAAATTCAACGTAAATTACTCACTTTAATATCATCATCACTCAGGCAATGCATAATTTTTATGACCTTCAATCTTATTTGGTTACAGAGCCATGAAATAGACAACCAGCCCCCCTCCTGTCATGCCCACCTGTCACATCCTCTCTTACAGAAACTGCCAATAGTTCTCTCTGGCATTCCATAGTGTATTATTTATAACTAATAGAAAGCCAAGGTTGTCTTCTGTCAAATGACGTCTTATATTACATTGTTTTCTCTACAGAGATTTGTCAATTTCTCTTCCAGTTCAACCTTTATTCCCATGGGAAACACAACGATGAGCTTAGCTGAATTCCTAATGGCTCTTGTCACATTGTTAAAAAGCCTAAAAAATTGTGATAATTATGGGACATTCTCTGGTTATTGCACGTTATTATTCTGTATTTTTTGTGCATTAGTTAATTAAATAAAGAATTGTTTAATGCAATACTACCATTAGTATAAAAAAGTAGGTTTAAGTTTCATCAACAGTCGACGGTAAAAAAAAACACAGGTAAGTACCTTTTTTTCATTTTTCATTAGTGTTATGTGTTTATTATTATAAAAGTAACTAAAATGTTAAAATAGAAAACTTTTTATGTTAGTTAAGGTTAGACTAGGTGAAATAGATATTATATTGTTAACAATAATAATATAATAAAATTTTCATGAGGTATGCTTGCAAGTAGCTTGTGCATAATATAATTTGATAATGTATTGTGAGCAGCAGGTGATACTAGATTTTTAGGACCCAAAATGCCACAGCATTATATCCAAGAAAGCGTTATAACTGATGGTGTTATAATGAGGCAGTACTGTAGTTTTCATGTATAAAAATCATTATCGTATAGTTTTTTAAACATGTTGAGCAAGCTGCTCTATTTATTTTCTAATGGAAGATCAAGTTTTTGTTTTCTTGTCCTAGGAGGTGAACGTTGGAGAAACATGACTGAGGAAGAAAAGCGGCCATATGTTGAAATGCAAAATGAAGCCAAAGTAGCATATGAACAATTAATGGAAGAGTATCGTAGACAGGTAGTGATGTGATTTTCATTTGTACTTTTATGTGAAAACACCATGATAAAAAATAATTAAAACAAGATCACATAGCTTCTGTTGTAAAAATTACTAGGCTACAAAGCTAAAAATTCTAAAACATACGTCTCCAGTAATCCCAATGTGTATTTTACTTTTTAGGTAATTTAGTTTTCACTCTATTCATTCTTATTATGCATATGTGTCATCTTTGATAATTGAATGCTTTAATGATTTATTTATTAGTGATCAGAGTAGGTAACTGAACTTACTGTTGCTACTTGCAGGCTTTTTTCTATAATAATAATCTTGAAGGTAAAGAACCTACAAGTGTAAATTTATTTGTAGTAATAGCAAGAATATGGAATTTTAGAAATTTTCTGTATTCACAGCAAAGTGCAACGGATCAACAGGTAGCCAAACAGCCTAGTATGATGATGATGCAGTCAGAGGAAGAGAATGACTCGGAGAGTAAGGATATTGCACAATCTCCATCTGGAAATTCTGCTTCAGCCTCGCCACCTGCTGCTCACTCTGACAGCCCAGTCCCATCAGGGTCATCTCCTAACATTCCCTCTGGCCTTTCACCAATGTCTTTGGCTCAGATGACCCCAGCTCACACTGGGGGTCTCCAAATGGCATATGGTCAGCCATCAGTGGCTGCTCTTCCCAACTTTTCTCAATTGGGTAACATCCTGAACACCCCAATCAACTATACTCAGGCTCATGCTGCCAACAACTCTCCATACATGGGTAATAGTAACAACAGCTACAACCAATCACCACAATCTGGTCAGTACAGCTGGTCATGAGCAATTTTGGGTGGCAATTTCAGGCTTAGAGTTCTTTACCGTGACTAGGAACTGAGTTCATTCTAGCTTCTTTAGTGCATGTGAAATGTTATCCAACTGCAGTGGTATAAGGCAAATATTTATATTTTTGTTTTTATATCTGTGACAGTCTGGGCTGATTTGTGCACTTTTGTGTACTGTAGATATGGATTGTCTCTCTTCATTACATATAGGTGGTTTAAGATTCACATGGTACAAAAACTTTTAAGTCTAATTACCTAATCCTCAAAATGCAGAGAGCTTTGTTTAGTAGTATCATTTACTCAAAACAATTCTGTAATATGGCCCAGACCATTTTAAGCTAGTTTAAGTTATCAGGGGTATTCTGACAATCTACAATAAAACAGTGCTTATAATTGTTTTTAAATTATGTTATTATTAGTGATTTTTGAATACAAATTGCAGTTGTTTATATTTGAATGAACATGCTCCAGTATTTGTAATTATAATTTGTTAATTTTTTAGCCAGGAAAGAACTGGTCACAACTGCACTTTTAGATCACTATGTGTATTCATTTTCATCTTATGGTTATTTAGTGCATTACAGACATGTTTTTATGTGTACAATTAAAAATACATTGCTTATACCACAAATATTGTGAGGCTGGCCAGTTTGACTGCTTTTGCCTAAACTTTACTTGTGTGTGTTTATATATATATATATACATACAAACACACACACACACTATTTTTCATATAGCGAACAAGGGAAAATCCCATAGTTTTAATTGACTGTAGATTTACAGTCATTATACTAATGCATAATTTTACTTTCATAATTCATATATTTTACATAATTATCTTTCAGTACAATATTTTTATCATTTTATATTAACAAGACTATCTGCAAACGTAATGGTTTACCACCTGTCAAATTTCCCAACAGGCCTTTTGCATAAATGCCACACTACTATTATTATTTACCCTAACATTTTTAAAGTATTCAATCCAGCTTATTAGCTTTGCTCTTCTATCATTTTTGTGAATTATCATAAAAACTGTAGTATTAATTAGTATATTATTTATTTAAACATATTTTAAGTTTTTATATTCAATTATTATTGCTGTATTGACATAGTAAGGTGAAAATGATTTTAAAATAATAATTGTACTTGGGTTGTTGGTAAATTTTGGAGGAAAAATGTTTTGTAATACCAATCATACATTAGTAAAACACTCATTTTTTTAATAATTCATAAATTTATATAATATAAAAAATTTTCAGAACATTTATTTGAAGAGTTTTAATTTTTCATATTTTTTTCGTGTTGTAAAATATTTTAAACATAATTCACAGTGTATAATAAAAAAGAATGTTCCAACTTTCATTAATATGAAACTCGAAGGAGTCTTAACTATAAACAACACATTGATTTTTTAATAATTTTACTGCCAATCCCAAAGTATAGGTTTATATATACTAAGAAACTATCATTCCTATAAAAGAAAATACTTTGTGTTTCTTATTGATTTTTCCTTCTCTGTTAGTAGTTTTATTATCACTGGCTTCTTTCTTTCCTTTTATGAAGTCACAGCATGCGATTTGAAAAATTAATTTCTAATGAAGCTCAGCATTGGAAATTGAAAATAGCTAAAGCCAACATTGATTTGAATTAGATACAGCAGGTTTTTATCTATTTAAACCAATGTAAAGTAAGTAAAAATGGCTTCAGCAATAAGTTATGATATCTCAAGATTTCAAATATTGACTACTCGTAGGTTCTGTAGAGGCAAACAAAACAATCTGATGTAGGAGACTTGCAAAGAAACTATAGATCTGAGAATTTTTTTAGCTTCTCTAAATACTCTTTTTGTTCCTGAAAATGTTTGTTTGTTAAATTATATTTGTTTGAAAGCTACAGAAATTTTCTGTGACAGGAAATCACTTTATCTTAGTTAGGTTTAGCAAATGTTGTAGACAATGGCAATATATTCTAATAACTTAAATCTTTATTTATTGAATATTATTGTCAAGTTTATTTTATTGAAAAGAAACTATATTTATTAAACATAAATTGATCTCTACCAAGGATCATAATAGTTAGGTCAACAAAGGTAATCATGATGTCATCTTGAAAAGTGAGATCCTAGGTCACTAAAAACCTTTTTCAGTTTTTTTATTTATAGCTGGAAGCAAGGAATAAAAATATATTATTGAATATCAATCGAGTTCATACTTACTGGATATATAAAACGGATCTTTCTAATCAACAGTAAAAAAGAAAAGAAATTAAAATTCTAAGATGAAAGGAAGTTTCTTTTTCCAGAACAATGTCTCGCAACTAAATTTAGGAAATTTAATGACCTAAAATATAATAGGAATACTAAATCAAATTATTGTACATACATATGTTAAACAGTTGGTCTTCTGTATGTTATCAAATAATGATTTCAATGAAATGTTATAACATTACTCGCATACCTAAATTGATTTAAGTTACTATATGGTGAAGTAAAATGGATTCAAAACTCCATAGATATTAAATCAAATTATGTGAATTTGTTAAGCCAAAAATAAACCAAGTTTCTTGCAGTTTTGTGTTTCCACTGTGAGAAGGAAGATATCAGGGGATATCAGTGACACTGTTCTAGTTTGATTAATAGAACACTTTCAATCCATTATTGACAAATTACAAAATACTGCTCTCAAAGGGAAGGATCACAGGAGGATATTTTTTCAAAAATTTTAACCTCCTTGCCATGTAGTTTTATTTGCAAAACCCTGTAAATAAGCATTTTAAAACAAAATTAACTTATTCAATTTGTGTCTAGGAGAGAAATTTTCAGATGCAGCTTTTAGAGTATACTTTTTCCCATATCGTTGAAGCCTTACTACTACAAAACTGTGAGGAATTTTGCACAGCATCTGAGACTCTGCCGTCTTAAACTATTTCATATACGATTGGATAATTAGATTTAAATGTGGCATAAAAAAAAAAAAAAACAGTGCAATAGACAATTATCAGTGTATTTTGACATTCATGGAGCTACTATTTATAAATGTATACTCATACACTTTTTCAGTGAACTGAACAATTTTATGAACAGCATCAGGGGAGCAATTAGACTAACCCTCATTGCAGACTGAGAGTGATTTTCTTGATTACTGAGTAACATGTCCTTGTAGTTCTAACAATACAATTTCTTGAGGATCTTGAAAAAACAAAGTACTCCATGATGTAATTCAAAATGTTACTCTGGTGCTCAGCATTTTGCAGTGGTACAGAATAGTGTATTTCACACTCATCTTACACATCCTTAGGGGTTATTTTAATTCAATTTCTTTCTGGTGAATAAAATTTGAACACAAAATTCAGAGCATATTGCAACTGCAATTAGATAAGTTTGTTGGGTGGAAAGCATTTAAATATAATAGGTACTACATCCTTCTTTAAAATGCATGTCTTTGCTTCAGTTTATTTCTCATAAAATTCCTGTAAAACTACTTGTTCCAAAGGTAACTGTACCTTGTATGCTTTCACTTTTCCATTTTTACTGCACTGACCCATGGTTTCAGTGCACCTTCTCTTGTTAGGGGAAAATCTAAGTATGAAGTCAGCTAGGCCTTCAATAAGTTTGACAAATTTTTACATTACCCAACAGCCCTCTTTTATAAGAAAACCAAGCAAACTTCCTGTAGATGTGGTTAAATTTCAACACAATCTTTCAATTATTTGTTCGGCATTAGGCATTTAAACTATTAACACTGTAAAATAAAATGCCTGTGAAGATGGACATCAAAATTCAAAATCTGCTTATTTTTTCAGCCATTAGCTACACCAGAAAAACCATTTTCCTTACAACTTTTGCATTTGCCTGTGTGAATGTGTAGAACCTACGTACACTCTAGGCAAAAGTGGTCGAGACAGCTGGTGTCACTTTTCCTCAGGTTCAACCCATATGCAGTTTCTCCATATAATATAACTCTATGGTGTGTGTACAAATATGTAGTTACTGTAATTCATAATTATTTGTAGGAAGTTATTTAGCAACCAAAGTTAACTGAGTATGAAAAGCCATTTATAATTGAGTAGGTTATTTTTTTTTTTAAGTAACAGTAGAATACTAAAAAACAAATCATCAAAATAGCTCATTACCAGAAAAGAAGCAAATTTTGACAAATGTTTTACTGAATTTCAACACATAGTTGTTTTCTGTTGCAAGTTTAGCTTTGTGTTGTGCCATTCAAGTTTTGAATCAAAATTAACAAAAAAAATTATAAAAATAACTATTTTCTTTTTAAAAGCCTCAGTGAGAGTTTTTTTTTTACTATATATTGATGGTTAGGCTGTATTGAACTTTCCTTGAAGTTTCAGTAAGGACTACTAAATATTTGTATTAATGTGGTATTATCTCCATTACAATGTACCACCGTTATTCAGATACATGTATATGTATATAGACTTGTCTGATAAATATTGCATAGCTAGTAATGTTTGTAATTATAACTGTGTGTTCATAACTACTTTATTTCTTTTTGATCCATTTACATTTCATATTTTGGTATTACAGAATACAAACATTCAGAATTGCTTACTTGTATATTTAATATAGCTTTTATACGTTGTAAGTTGTGGTGCCATGAAACTGACTGTTTGGTAATATAATGCAGCAAATTCTGAAGTGCATCTGAACTTCTTTGTCAAAATTAGGTTTTTGTGAGTTATAGTCTGCTGTAGTGTGTGTTATTATTCACCCAAAATATCTGTGCCAGAAATAGATCAAGTACAAGTGAATTTATTTTAAAAATCAAAAGTAGGGCTTTTTTTATTTTGTTTGAACTTTTTCTCAGTATTAGTTTATTTCCCAAAGATTTTATTTATTTAAAAAAAATTGTTGTTAATTGAATGGGGGTTCAGCATGATTTCTACACAACATTCTCCTCGGCTTTTTATTTTAAAATTATAGACTATCTAAGTAATACTTTTGAAAAGAAGAAAGCATTACTGCTGTTAGTTTCACATTATATTAGAGTTTCTTTAGTTTATAAAAAAAACCTGTAGTTAATGTTATATTTATATTTGTGATGGATGTGTGTAATAAGCCATTTCAGTTAATCTTCTTTTTTTTCAATAAAGGTCCATTTAAAGAAAATAAACATTCCTTTTAATTAATTTCAAAAACTAAATTTATGCAGTAATCTGGTTTCCTTTACGGATACATTATTTTAATTTGTCTTAAGCAATGTGTGAATTATTGTAAGAGAGGAAAAAGCCTTCTCTCATATTTTAAGATAATATTATTCATAGATACAAATCTTCACAATTATCTGTATATTTTTAAATGTTATGAACATTTTTAACAAAATTGTGCTGTAACTTGTTAATATTGTATTCATAGTTACATGACCTTGTGCTTTTTGTGGATAACTGGACTGAAGGAATTTCCTGATTGTATAAATTCCAGTTTATCTATGAATAGTAAGGGAAGAACGTGATGCTTGGTTTTGTGTAATAAGAATACTTGAAACTGTTTTCTGTTTTGAACAAAAAACTTTGATGTCTTAAATATTTGCAAAACAAGTTGTCCAGTAACTGGCAGGGGTCATTATTTATATTATCATAATTTTTGTCATTTAAAATTTTTAAACTCGCATTATTAATTAGCAGAACCATAAAAGGTTTTTGTGGTACATGTAGTGGGATGAAAAAAAAAAATAAACCCTTGGCCCTGTACTCAGTTGCAGCAAGTCGAGCAAAAAGATGTAAATAAAAGTGTTAGTGTTGGGATTTTATGAATTGTTTTTTAATATGTATATATGTATATGTATGTATTTCATAAGTAAAACTTGCATAGTTAGTGCAGTAGATGGAAGAGCAAAAGAAGAAAGTGAATATTTAATGATTTCCATGAAATTACAGTTATTTATCTGAACATGTTTGTAGTTTTTTTTTTTCTAATATCATTTTCTCTGATATATTACCCATAATAATATGAGAGATTTAGACTACTGAAAAATGTTGTTTGAAAGAAAAGGCACACAAGACAAAATGTAAATTCATATTTATGTTTTGTTTTTGATATATTATTGTGCCTTTAACACATGAAGCAAAGAAAAGAACAATCCTTTTTGGTGCCAATAATTACAATAAATACTTATTCAACAACTAGTATTACCCTGGATATTCTGCCATCTCACAAAAATCTAATTGTTTATCAGATTTTTGTGAATGTAAGTACTTCAGTGATTTGTCAGTTGTTCAGAGTTTGAAAT